ACGTTTCACTTCGATTCACCAGGCAGAAAATTCCAACAGTCAACATGCACACAACAACACGTGGGACTCTTCAATTACAGTGGGACCCTTTTATGAGAAACTAAAATTATGATCCGATGGAAACAATACCCATCAGCAAAGGACACTTTTTAAAATCTGAATAGGATAAAATGACATACGACGGTGTACTAACAACTTGAGTTTTGATGAGTCCTTTTCACAGAAGAATTAAATTTGTTAATCAAAATTAGCTCGCCCACCAAAAGGAAAACTGCAAAAAAAAAAAGAAGAAAAAAAAAAGAAAGAAAGAAAAATATATTTGAAAATGGTCTGCCAAGATACAATCTGCACATTTTTAAAAAAGCTTTTTCTGGATTATAACTATCACAACAAAAAACAACAACCCCAAAATCCCAACAGAACAGCATATTTTCTAAAAATAGAGTTATCCACCTAATGTGAGATCAATTTTTTGAGCCACACCATTGGAACTATTATGTCAAGATAAAATAAAACAAATCCGGAAACTTTCATTTGAGTATCTAATCCCCCCCCCGACATAAAAAATAGCAGTGTGTACAACAGATATTTGAGGTAAATTCCAGTTCAATCATGGACTTTTTGTCAAAACAAAGCAAGTTATATGCCAGAAGTTTGCCTTACAGAAAACCCTTTCCACAAACACACAGAAGCAAAGGAGGCAAACTTTACCAGACAGAAACCATAGACAAAACTTCAAAAGAAAAGTCTGTAATGTATGAATTCTTTCACTGCAAATGTATGGCATACGTTTTTGTTTTTAAAATTCAAAAATACAAATTTGTACATGACTTCCAAAAGCTGATAGATGTTCACACAGCTCTATGATAGCATTGTACCAGCAAAGTCAGTTGCACTGTTGCACACAATGAAAGTATTTTCTCTTAGTGACATGAGAGATAAAACTAGAAATAAAGAATGTACTATGCTCTTCCTCTTTATCTCTCAACCGCACAAACATTCACATAAATGAACAAACATGAACTTAGAATTTATAGCGACAAGCAAACATTTTAGCTGCAAAGTAAAAAGTGTTCAAATAATTAATATGCCCTAAACAATGCTGTTATGGTTCCATCAGAGCAGTGTGTGTTTGCTGTCTGCTTTATTAATAAGATTTTGATGCTGGATTTTAAGCAGCAGGTGTTGAGAGCAAGTCTATAAACTTTATTACAAACTTTGATCCAGTGACCACCAAGCTACACTGTCCACCAGTAACCGTAAGTGGATATTGCTTTCAAATCCGGCTCCAGCTATGGTCAAAGCTTTTGTCTCATGAAATATTTGACCAGTTCTGATGAGGTTTCATCACAGTACATAAAGTAGATGTGTTCAGTGAGGTATGAAAAATCCTTCTAGCCCTTCACTACCTGGCCATAGTTCGCCTTGGGTAGTAAAGTAGGGGAATAATTCAGAACCTACAGAGAGGAGGTCAAAAACAAGACTCACCTTGTGAAGTAAATCCGTTTCATTACAAAAGTACTAAGCACCAATATTTTAACACGAGGTATACAAAGGACATCACAATCAACATACAAATCAACAAGTTCCAAAGCAGTGTGAAACTTGCATATATGGCACACACATTACAAAAAACTTTTCCACATCATTGGAGTCGTACTACAAAGTCTCATAAAAAAAAAAGCTTATATCTCACATTACTTATTTTTCCAAATATTTGGAGCAGCAACAGAATGTATCATTATAAGACATAAATCCATAAGAATCACATTTCGAGAGAAGTATCCAACTTAAAATTGCAAATAGTTCCAAATTCAGAGCAAATACATGTCAGATCAGTACTTTCATTAAGGGGAGGAGCGCCCCTTGATTTTTGCAGATTTTGGGTCAGGCTTGCACATTGAAATGTTGGCTGATTTTTTAAGATCAACCACTTCTTTGTCTAAAAATAGCATGGAGACAATTGAGAAAGTCTTTATTCCCCTCGTAAATTGCCTTTGAAAACATGAGGGTGGGTTAATAAAGTGAATTTTCACAATATTTGTCATGTTTCGAAAAATGTCATTTTTTGCAGTTTTTTCCCTACTCCTTCCTTAATTTTCATCCTTTTGACATGAAACTTTCAGGAAACATAGTTAGCAAGACTGCCATCAATGTAACAGAGAGATATTTGCGAAAAAATAAACACTTTTCCATTGGCAAGCGATTGCGCAACCTAAATTTAGAAAAAGGGTTTTATACTTTGGGAAAGTTCTCACATTTTTGTTTCTTTTGCACTTATTGAGAAAAAACTCGCTATTACGTTGATAGGGTCTGGTTCAGGTATACTCTCACCAAATTTGGTAAAATTTGGTCAGTAAATAAGAAAGCCTTAGGGGTCAGAAATTCATTGTTTATTTTCATGCAACCGCTGTAGTTATGCCAAAATAAAATTGTGTATCAAGGGATTTTACAATGCCTAACTTATACGTGTACTTTTTTTTATAGTAGAGGGTTTTACGGCGCTCGCAACCCCATAAGGTCATATGTGCGCCAAGGGGTGGGTGTCAACAGAGAAGTTTTTACAAGGAATCAGACTTAGACTGCTCACCTCTCTAGCTTCAACAGCACAAGGTCTGCTTCAACTATCAAGGCACCCCGGAAATAGCAGGCCACAAGAGAGTGACAAACATACAAAAGAAGTAGAGGAAAACGACAACAGTAAGGATCAGGAAAGAAAAAGCAGCAGTTCCCTGTTGTAGATCAGGCACAGTTATGAGCGTGACATGAGTCAGCCCATTTACAATTCTACTATGCTTGAAGGAGAAATGACCCCCCTTTGGGAATGGCCTAAACACACTACAGTCAGTGGCATATGTGTATTTAGATTTGATCTCGGGCAACAAATATAGAAAATGGCCCTCAAGGGTCGCTCCTCCTGTAAAGAAGATATATATTTAAGGTAATAGTAAAACACAAAATCACATCCTCTTTCCATGGACTTCATCAAGCTGTAATTAAAGCATAGATGAAACATTTCGATGATGCAACAACTACCTGACTGTATTTCAACACCATACAACAAGCTTGAGCAACTTTCCTATCATCTCAATAATGAAAAAAAAAAAAGAAGACAGCATCATATTACTTACTTTCTGAGAACTAAAACTATCCAGGTAGGACAATTACTTCAACTTTTACCTGTATTTACGTTTTATTAGCGAAAACCCCCCAGCCCCAAGACATGATTACATAAGATTAGATCTACCCTTAAGAGAAATTAAAATGATACATTTTGTATTTCAATTTTTTACACATCCAATTTGATTACAATCGGCAAGAAAAACATGATTAATAACTTTGGTATCTAAAAATGTGCAAGCTATGACCCAATAAAAGTGAACAAACGGAATAAGCGAATAAGTACATATACATGGGAACTTAGAGGAGGTCACAGCTTAAACTTAAACTTTCACATTTATCTTGGCACACACAGTGATATAAATAAAAACATACAACAAAATTTGCTGTGGTCCACAAAACAAACATAATATTTGTTGCTATACAAAGTCAAAAGGATGGGGCTTGTTATTAGTTCCTTTATCGTAATTTCAGGACACCCATAAAAGGAAAAAACCGCCAGTTTCCACCAAAGGATTTTACCCTCACGTGAGAAATGACAACAAAGAGACATTCCAGGCTCATAACAAGTGTCTGCTGGGCTTTTTAAAGAAAGCATTGCACAGTCTTCAAGCTTTGGAACAAGGCAAATATAATATTGCCAAGTGTGAGCATTTTGTGCAGTTAAAAAGTAAAAATTAAAAGCATCAATATGGACTTTATCTATATATGTATATATATGCGTTAATGACTGAAAAAGAGAAGTGCCAGTACCCTTTTGAACAAAGGGATAAAAAAAAAAAAGAAAAAAAAAGAAACACAACAACTGACCAATAAAATTATATTTGTTAACATCTGAGAACATTCAGCACTAGTGGTCACTTGTCATGTGTGTAAGACATCTGTACAGTTAGTTAGACAAGAAGCTTGAAAACACAATCTGTAATAGTCACCACTGATTGACAGTCATAAACCCTATACTATAATCTTTTGTTTTATTGTTTTAGTATGTAGAGTTTTACAGCACTTGCAATACAATTCGGTCATATAACTATAATCTCTATACACACTTTTTAAGTCCAGTAAACTCAAGCAGCTTCAGGCGTGATTTGTATCTGGAAATAGAATGCAAAAACTACAAAGTATCTAAACAGATTTCAGTGTTAATCAAGCTGTAATAAACATTGCAGAGAAAACAAAATGCAATACTTGGGTAACTATCACACAAGAAACACCTGATGATATAGGACTAGGGTTCCACCAAGCACATACGTGTCCTGGTATAAAGAAAATAGCCACAACAACAAACATGAGCCAATACTAATATCCCCTATCAACAAAGAAATGTTCTTGCATTAGCCTGTTGGGCTTTGAGCAACAAATTTGTCTTTCCACTGTGTTCTAAGACAATAACCAGTACAGCAATAGGATTTTTAAAAAACTAAATAAAGACTCCTCTAATTCTAACTTAGTCAACACTGCTGGCAAAATGTCAGGCCCCTTTAAAAAAAATGTTAATTACAGTTGTTATTATAGTAAAGAAATCCAAGAATCATTCCATCCCCCCCCCCCCCCCCCCCAAATCAATTCCAGTAATGACGCCAGTGAAGACCATTAAAGAAGACTTAGACAATCTATGAGGTTTTCTGAATCGTTCAAAGGTCAATAAATACAAATACTGTTTTAGTCGAGCTCCAAAGACGGTGTGTCCAATAGATTATGTAAGAACAGAAAATTTAAAAGTGCCAGAACACATAGTAGGCCTTACAAGATAGACATAGTTTGTAGAGGGAATGTTATACATATTAAAACCCAAATCTCTAAGCTTGGACAGTGGAACAAAATTCTGAAAACCTGTCGGCTCCAAGTTACAGAAAAAGAAACAATAACTCTGAAATTGTGAACACTCCACATCTCTTTAGTAGTATACATATAATATCAATTCTTCACAGTCATGAATAATGCTCACCCCACAAAACAGAATGGGTGGCAACGCCCTTGAACATATAGCATTCAAACAAGTCAGATTTGAGACCATTTTCAGTAGAAGTAGAAGTAATGCATCCATTGCTATTGAACTTTTAGGCTTTGCTCATTTGTGTGGGTCATGGTTGGGTACGGAGTACAAACTCACTGCTGTACTTGGGTTTCCTAAAGATTTCAATTATGGTCTTTTTTGTCCTCAAAGTCAAAGAAAGCTCCACACTCCAAAACAAAAGACTCAGAAAAATTTTGTCAGCATCTGTACGTTTCAAAAACATCCTGCATTACTCAGAACAGTTCGCTGCCTGGACACAGGGATGAACAGAAATGTTCTCAGTACAGAAAGAAATACTTCAACTCTGTATCAGTCCCAGCTACAAACTAGTGCACGTTTGTCAAGTTCATAACCAACCACATCACTCGGCCAAAAATAATTAGACAAAGCTAGGTATTACTAAAGGCCATGATTGAAGATCATCAATAAGCTAAAATCTGCATCCAGAACAATGATTCACATCAAAGAGCTATAAACTTGAATGATATGGAATTTTGCATATAACAATAACTGCGTGAAGTAACATCATACAAGATTTTTAAAAGGATAAAAATTGTAGCAATCACTCAAAGTTAGCTGATTCAAACGTCTTTCAAACAACAAAGGAAAATGGAATGGACAAAAGATAAAGAAAGGACTAACATACATCACAAACGAACTCTGAAAAGTCACTAATTTGAGAGGAACAACAGAAATATTCAAAGGTACTGAAAGAACTTCAGGATGTGGCAGAGTTGGGAACAAGAATTGAGTGCTCAGGCACTTAAAATTTCCTGAGAATATTTTGAAATTTCTTTGAAAATAAATTCCCAGTAATGAAGCAGCACCACAGAACAAACAAAGTTTTGGTCAGAATGCTGTCGTAAAGTAGAAGGCAGTTAAACTTGATCTCAATTTTTTTAAAACCTTTTTGTCGCCTTAACAGCATATGATGCGATAACTGAATACACGTCTAGTGCAAAAGGATAGAAATTACAAGGCCAGTCCCTAAAATTATTTTTCGCCTCACACATGAATCAGTAAAGATTACAGATAACATCACAATTCCTCAAGCATCATGAAGGGGGCAAAGTGAGGCTGGTACTTATCATTTAAATATTATATAAAATTTATATTATCAAACACAATTATATACTGGCATACTGGTAAGCTATCAAGCCTGAAAGGTAGCAATGTACACACTCCTAATACTGAAATAGTAAAATTGATCACATGATGTGAAGGAGCACAGGCATAATTCATCCACTTTTCTGGGCAAAGTAAAAAAAAAACTTCAGGTGCAATCACAGAACCTTCATCTTCTTGACTTTTCAATAATTTTGATTCTTTCTCCAGTTTAAAAAATGTTCTTTGTTGTAGCTGTCATTATGATCTGGTTATGTCCAGCCTTTCTGCTTTCCATTATATGCCAATTGTAGGTTCTCTTCTATCATGGAGTATTTCCACTGAGAACACTTTTTTAATCAAGACTTTTTGATCTGACAATCATAATTCTTATGGAGTCTTAACTTTTCTTTTCATTAAAAAAAAATTCATAACTCTTTTGTCCAAGACGATTTTTGGGGGGTTCCTCTTTGTTACCATTAACAAACCAGAATTTTATTTCTTAAATATGACCTAAAATGTTAAAATGTCTCTTTGCTTTTATCAGTGACAAATCATCTGTGTCTTCAGAAAAAAGAAGAAAAAAATACCCAGCCATTTTGGAAGAAACCCCCCCCCCCCCCCCAAAAAAAAATGTCCTGAAGCAAAGAGCTGATCTCCCTACTAATACAGCTCTGATTCAGTTACCCACAGTACGGTAATTATTCTAGTAGTACACTGGTTATCATATATGCTAGCTTCAAAAGTGGAACCTTCCAATCTGAAATAGAGAACTAAATATTTATAGCGTATGGGAAAAATATTCACGACTCCTTTCTCAACACCATCAACAATTACAATATCCCCCCTACTCCAACCACAACCCAAACCCCAATAACAACAAGAGCAACAATAAAAACAAGCCACGATTTTGATTGAGCAGATGTTTTTACAACACTATCCACAAGCTAAAATTTAAAAAACCCCAAAATGCCCACAGTAAAGTAAGAAGCAAACATTTGGCCTGCCAATTAATGTTCCCTGCCTCGATAGTATTACTAAGTCGTAAGTGGGAAAACTGGATAAAACAAAAACATATCACTCCTGATCAATCAGGGCAGCAGTGTGGCAGCTAAATTAACAGTTTGAGAAAAAGCCTTCAGTAACTCAATTAATGGAAGCTCATACACGTATCACTGAAAACATATAATATATGTAAGGCAAGGGTAAGAAGATCATCATGGTCATAAACAATTAGCAAATAAGAGATATGCATGTAATATTTCATTAAAGTTACAAACATTAACATTATAACAAGTACTTTGCGTTCATGATTGTGGAGGATCCAGTGCAATCAGCAGGGGCAATCAGTGAGGAAGGGACAAAATCACCAACAGAGCTACTGAAAAACATGTTGCTGGTATGCAAAATCTAGCAGCTATTCGAATAATTAATTACGGTGGGTCAGGACCATATTAGACATATTTCATGAGGAACAGACTAGGACAATACATGATAACAATGAATGACATATGTATAGCGCACATCCCCACACAACAGCAAGATTTATGCGCTTTACACACTATATTATTACTCCAGCAACCCAAGAACACTCAAAACTATTCTCTGCTCTTTTGGAAGCATTACAGAGCAAGAAGTTGATTAAGAGTTCAAACACTAACAAACTGACAAGATCTTTCACTGTCTATAGCCTTGTACCCATTCTCACCTGGGTGAAGTGAGGAAAATTTGTGCTAAGTGCCTTTCCCAAGGACACAACGTCAAGCCCCTGATGGGATTAGAATTAATGACCTTACAGTTGTCAGTCTGAGAGCCTCACCACCAGGCCACCGACACCAAATACACTCATCGAGACAAGCACATTAACACAATAACAGTCATCTGGGTGTAGCGGGGAAAAGTAAAATACGCCGACAGAAACAACAGGCAATGACACGCAAATAGGCCTACTAAAAAGAATGACAATGTAAAAGGAGCAAATCGTACCAAAGCACTATTAGACACATGATAGCTGCTAGTGTTAAAAAACCTGGATAGTGAGACACTTTCTGCACCTAGTAAGGGTTATGAAAAAAGTTCTAGTTTTGTAAAGCCTGCATTCAGCTTCACCTTAGACCTTTGGAAATACTTTCTGCTACTAGAGTAAAAAAAATGTAACTTGCAAAATTAATGTACAGAGGAAACTGTGAGGCTGAAAATACTGATTACATTTCTGTAAGATATCAACATTGTGACCGGCCGAAAACAGTGTTGTAAATGGCACGCAAATATTGCAGCAAATTAAATATACCAATGGGCTGAAGGGTAAAAAATTACCAAAAAGTAAAAAGTAAAACACAGGCATGCTCCATTATCCATGCTCCTTCTCCCATAATGGCTACAGTTTTTAACATAGCCAATAGCATTTAATGTGATAACATTGTCTTTTTTTATTTAGATTCGATGTTTCCGCTCGATGGCACTGCTGGCTCTGTAAAAGTCATATAAGTACCAGGAAGTAAATGAAGACTAAAGTAGTACTAAAAAATAAGTAGAAAGAGCAAATCCACACACAGATTAAAAAACCTATCAGTAAGACATTGTATATTTTTATGACAAAAGCACTGAAACATAGCAGCTGTCTTCATTCATCATGTCTCACTCGTCAAGTTAACACAAAGTTTTTCAAGAGAAACCAGTCACAAAGCAAGTCAGAAAACTTTTGAACTCCAACAAGACATAAAAAGGTTTGGGAAAATAAATTTTTTTGCAGGTGTAGGCCTACTATTCTTTCACTTAAGCTTTTTTGCTGCTTAGTTTAATCCTCCAACAACAACCCCCCCCCCAAAAAAAAATGTGTGGTGAAATCAGGCACTCGTCAAAATGGTGATCGGTGAAATTAACATTTTTCTGCCCGTAAAGCAATTTGCATCAACATTAGTAAAAAAATTTTTTTTGCTCAAACGTTAAAATGTCCAATAATAATGTCCATTTAAGAACGCTTTGTGTGGATTTTTTCTGAAAAATATTAAAAGGCACAAACAATTTAAATTTGCAATAACTATGGTTATGGACACTCAAACTTTTAAAATCACCAAACTTTGGCCGCAATTTTCTCATTAACTTTTACCTTTGACATCAGGCATCGTTCATCTCCATCAATCACAAAAATAGAATTCTGTTCAAGGTAGAAGGACACTCTTCCATCAAAAGCAAGACATATAAACAAGCTTTAAGATGACACAAATAACTCCATACACTCAAAAATTGACGAGCACCTGATTCCACAGCGTCATGACACATTTGTCCTGAAGGTGGAACAAGGCAAAAACTTATTTCTCACTCTCCTCACACAGAATTATAATAATTTCAATACTTCCATTTGTTGCTGTCCTACCACTTCATAAAGGAAAGTCTCAGAATCATGTGAAGGCATCTTCTTATTTGTGACGATGATGTTATAATAAAGGAAAGTGACCTATTTCAACTAGAAAGCAGACAAGAATCAAGTGGTTTTATGGCATATTGAACACATAGTTTGACCAAAATGTACTTATTCCTCACAATAATTAAAAGAGCAATACCATTTAAAAAATTTACTGCTTTCTCTTCATATTCATATATGCAACAGTTCTAAAGAAAAAAAAATCAGAGATGGTCAACACAGTATGAATATTTTCAAAGATTTGAGCACACACAATCTTAAGTATTGAGCAAAAAACAAAAAATAATGTTGGGAATTTGAGAAGTGTCTTGGAATTACATTAGTATGTCCTTGTAACATTAGATTATACCAAAAGAGTAAATCTGTTTCATGGTGCAATAGAGAATTAAGTGAAAACAACATGACTTAACTGAAGTACAGCATTTTTTGTTTGAAAGGTTAACTACTTAAAATTTTCTCCTATGAATAACAAAACTACACCATATCCACAAAAAAGTATGTATCATTTTTAAACGCTCTATCCAGAACAAAAACTAAGCAAACATGTCCCTACTATATACGTTAAAGACATCATCAAATCATTTAACAAAACAAAAATGCAGCAAAAAAATTGATAACTACTTCACTATAATAAAATCAACAGTAAGCAAATTTGATTGCAAAAGTAGAACACCTTGCACAACACACTAAAAGGTACAATGTACCAGCTATTCTACAAAAGCAAATAAAGGTTTAGAAACTTTATAAACACAAGTGTGGACAAAGCAGTATAGTATTATCCTATAGGCCTATATCTTCCAGTACATGCGTTGACCCGGGGATGGCCATAACTATTTCTAACAAAACTCCTGAGCTTTTGAGTGAGAAGCAAAAACTGTATATTCTACTGGACTGAAATAAGCACAAAATGAAACTTCAGTGCATTTCTTTTAATCTGTAACTAAAACAATACAAAAGTGCCCATTCCTTTGATAGAGCAGACTGCCATTGCTACCTGTGCGCCACACACAGTGGGGAGTGCCCTGAAATGTAGGGAAGACTAGAAGGGCAGCTCCCCATACTGCATCTGATATCTATGTAATTCCTCACGTAGCTTGTAAGTGTTGGCCACAGCTGCGGAGCATGTCTCTCGCTCGCTAGCCAGTTTATTTTCTAGGTCCTGCCTCTGGGAGGCAGCCTCAGTTTGCATGGTCTCGATACGACGTTCATACTTCTCCCGCATATCCTTAAGTTGAGCCTTGAGAGCCCCCACTCTCTCCTTGTAACGAGTTTTCTGATCACTTAACTCTTTCTTCAGCGTTTCAACTTGACTGCTCAAATCTTCACAACGCAGTTCTAGTTTCCCATTCATCTTTACTTTAGTTTCAGTGGTAGATTTTAAAGATTCTGGAACAGAAGACAAAATTTCAAAAGATGATGCGACCCCATCCTGCTCTGAATCGTTGTTAGATGAGCACCGTGACAAGGTTGATGATGGGCTAGCATTTGGAGAGCCCCTAGCTGGGATATTAGCCTTGGCCAGAGCAGTTAGCACATCCTGGGTGTTGACACCTTCAAGAGCACCCGGAGATCTCGGTGATTTTTGTCCGTCAACCATCACATAACCTTCAGGTCTCTTCCGATCCAAAGCACGCCGATTTCTTGAAAGCTTTGTCGACTTCGTCCTTTTGGGAGCCACAGGGGGTTCCCCATCATTGGGGCAGGGAGATGAGGGTGATATGGGTGGACTCGTTGTATTACGAGTCCCGTGAGGCTCTGAGAGACTCAGGTGTAAAACTTTCTTCCTAGCAGCAGGTTTGGGAACACGGGTTTCTGCAAACACTTGGTCATCTGCAAAAGGAAAATTCGCACAGCCTGGTAGAGGCTTTGAGGGGTCAACGGGAGAGTAATAGTCCTCAGTAATTTTCATCGAACTCTCTGAACTTTTGTTGCTGCCAGGAGGTGAGACATTTATGTTGATACCTTCCAGATCAGCAAAGGAGCTAGGCTTGGCAGAGGGCGCAACAACAGGAATGTCAAGGACGTGTGACATATGCAGGAGATCGGCCGTCGGGACAGCAAATTCTGGGGCACTGTCCTCGTTGTATTCAAGCATAAAAACCTGCAACAAGCAGCTGATGTTAGATGCAATACTGGAACAATGTCAAATCAGCACAATGAAAGCAAGGGAACGATATCGAACAGACCAAAAAATCCACCAACAACAGAGGCAGAAGAAGACAATTGACTATTGAAAAAAAAGATAGGAATACAATTAAGACTAACATAAAACAGAGGAGAAAAGTGGTTGTCTATGACAGGTGGACATCTTACAGTGTCATTATAACGTGAAAATACGCAAGGAGGAAATGTGAAGTGGCCATTTGTACAGGTGGCCGTTAGAGCAAGTTCAACTGTAAATATATGCTTTTTTTGCAACTCTTTCTAGAATACTAGAGCTGTACCTATTCAACTTTACTATTCGACATTCAGGATTTTTGCACTAATCACAGTTATTCGAAGTGTGGCAGAGCCATTTGAATGCTGTGTGATTTAGAAAAAAAAAAAATGGATTTTTGTCTCATTTTTCTTTAACGTATTAAAATTGAAGCACATTATTTCTAAAATCAATGAGATAAATACAGAAATACTCTCTACTTGATGGTTGCGAGACGGGGTAATAAGAGAAGCCAACAAGAGTTATAAAACATTCCTCTAAAGAATGTCTATTACTATTCAATATTCACTCGTCAGGCCAGGGAAAGCTCAAGCAAGGGCAATGGACTCTTGAAGTTGAAGCGCAGCAAATGTTTTATTTCTTCCATGAAATTAGTCGCTACGAGCTCCCTTTTCCCTATTCGAAATTTGAAACGCTATGGCGAAATGGTGACGTGATGTGATCACATTGCATTGTCTGCAACAAAAACACACGCACGTTCAGTGACACGCGTTGTAAATAGTTAACTAATGTTGAATAGCGGAAGTAAGGGATGGACTTATCATATATAACAAAAAACCAATTCGAAAGCGTTTCGAATAGCAGAAGTTAGGGCTGGACTTGGCTTATATAAGAAAAAAAACATTCGATGTCGCTGTGAATTGTTAGCGAATTGTGAATAACGGAAATTAGGGCTAGGCTTCTCTTATATAAGAAAAAAAACATTCGACAGCGCTGTGAATAGCGGAAGTTAGGGCTGGGCTTATCTATTATAAGAAAAAAAAAATTCAACGGCACTGTGAACAGTTAGCGAATGTTAAATAGCAGAAGTTAGGGCTGGGCTTATTATATACATAAGGGAAAACATTCGACGGCAGAATTCGAATAGCATGAATAGCGAGCTCACGCTTCGAACCTCCAATGCAGTTTTGTTTCCTCAAAATCTCACAGCACTATACAAACTCCCAGGTGTCTTCAGATAACTCTCTAAGTGTCAGAGATAAAAACTGTATGGTGACAGAACATTTTGAGTGTTTTCACTAGGATCTATAAAATCACTGGAAACTTTTCTGCCACAACACTATAGTAAACTGAATGTTTGAGCTAGTGTTTTTGATTGCAAGGTTATAACATGTCAAAAACAAAAGAAATGATCTAATTTACCTCTTTTCAGATTTATATGTCAGCATACTTGTAGTAGCCAGGTATTTCAGTATATCCAGCATTTTTTATAACCAAAAAGGACACCAAAAAAAATCCTTAATAACTGAAAGAATGTACAAATCAAAGTTTCAACACACCTGGTCAAAATAGAAGAGCAGCATGAAGACCAGGTTCTCGCTCAGATCGGCCGTGCAGAGGAACAGCTGCGAGTTCTCCCGGTCAATGTGCCGGATGATGTTGTAGCCAAAAATTCGGCCCAGGCTCGACATGGACATCTTGTTCTGATTCTCATGCAAACCGACCTGTGTGAAGAGAGAACCATTTAATTATTTCTTCTTTGTTTTTTAATGAGACAAGTGTGGGTCATTTTGAGGGCAGAGCCTTGACCTCGTAGCTAGATATAAAAAGAAAAATGGGAAAAAAAAAGAGCTTGTTTTGTCTGTTTGAGTAAAGAGAAGCACATCAGCACAATAATGGTCATGTAGCACAGGAAAAAACTCAGAAAAACAGGAAGAATCAACAGAGGAAAAGTGCAAGGGAGAAAAAAAAGAAAGAAAAAGAGCAGAGACCAAAAATAATTATTAGATATCCATACAAATAGATCTCAGTATAAACATTCAATTTTGACATTCCAACAATAAAAGGGGTAGGTCTACACCTTCAGTTGGCGAGCAGCGAGTTTACTAGTCACACTTGAAGCACAAGAGTCTTTGACAGTATAGAATAATCGAGAAAAAAAAGGAACCTGATGAAGATTAGCATTTTCTTGAAGCGTAAATTTCAAACTATAACCCATTTCCACCTGGGTTGCATCCCTTAGCAGACACACCAACCTGGGCTGCCTCCAGCCACACCCAACTTTCCCTCCAAACAGCTACAAAATTAGCGGACAATAAGCGTGCGGAAGTGCAAGAACTGTAACTCTAAAGAGCTTTATAAAAAACTTGGAAATGATGGACTGGAGCAAGTTTTAGAAAGACATAGAGGGATTTGGACTTTCTCGTAATCAGAAGGCTGCCTGGATACAAGTATTCGTAGGCTGTCACTACAGCAATGAGTTAAGGCAGAAGAATCCTTTTCAGATCAAACACCCTCCAACCACCACACACACTCACATATCAAATAACAACCTTTGGTACAAACAATGACTACGATAAATCTTGATCACTAAAAAGGTGAGTTTTTTTCAATGTTAACAAACCTTCAAATAAATTCTCCTTCAATGCATATGATCAGCTGTGCAGCACTATACAGAAAGTCAGCATAGTAAACCATATTTCAATTCAACTGATATAAAATAGGAAAATAATTTAATTTGATATAACTATACTGAAAAAAAGTTAAAAGGAGCTGATTACTCAACAGCAGCTAGCAACCATCTGCTCAGACTGACATTCAAATGACTTTGATAAACACATGAGACACTATCCAGCTTTGAAGGCAGAAAATATTTTTTCAACTGCAAACAATCATTTCCCACTCAAAGTTCTTAGCAAGGATGTCAGGAAAAAATAAATGAACAGTTAAGTTCATCATCCCACTGGAAAAACAATATTTACTTTACCGGTAATATTGTTCCCCTATTCATTCCTATTCACATCTTGCTTCATAAGACACATATAATGCAATATCAGATAAGAAGCACAGCTATACAAACCTCCCGCAAGAAGTTACAAATGTACTTAAGAATCACGTAGTTGTCCTGAGGAATCATTTTCATAGCACTGGACAGTTCTCCTACAAATCCTTCCTTTTCTTCATCAGTCTTTGCACTCATGAATCTCAGGGCGATGTTCATGAACTTTTGAAAGAGGTCACACGGAATGAGGGAATCCGGAAGTTCGCGCAGGAAATTTTTCAACACAGAAGCGACAACATGCACATCTGTTCCCGAATCTTCAAAGGACACCTTCTGACCTTGCTCAAATCTGGCTATAATATCTTTCACTGATGTCTGACGACCTGGAAGCCTGTTGAAAACAATATCACAGTGTCTTAAATGAAGAAATGTTCTAAACAAATGAAAAGAAAAATTATCCAAAATTTTAATAAAAATAATAAAAGACTGCATTTATACAGCAAAAATTCCTGCTCAACAGCAATCTCTATGCACTTTACAAACCATTTTATTACGAAACCCCAGCAGACCTGACAGACAATTTCAACTTCCTGGAAAGCATACACAGTGCAAGCTGCAATTTTATATGTGCTAATTTTTCATTATAATTGTTGTCTCATATATAGAATTTACACCTTTACAAGTGTATGTCACACAAAGAACTGTTTTGGCATTTATGAAGTAATCATGAGACAAAAAGTTGTAGAATTGAATTCGATAAATTGACATTTAGGAGTCAGTAGTATCCTATAGTGGCGGGCGGATTTGCTACTTGGTTATGGGATTTGCTGGTACTTAGTGTGAGTGAGACTACCCAAAACCTGGAACCCCAAATCCCAAATCTTTGAAAAGTACGAAACAAAACAAAGTTTTGAAATATATGCTTGCTTAATTTCTAAACTGAAATATCTCAAAATAATATACAAATACTACAAAACCTTGTATGCGATAAGTAAACTAGTCCTTCAAAAAATGTACCAGTAAATCGACTAAAAATTGATCACACGGACTTGTTTCCCCTCCTTATTCATTGGAATAAGCTGGAATCATCAGCTTACGACGCAAGGACGAGTCCATTGTACTTTCTAAAGGTGGGACACTCCTACTCACTTGGCTGGTAACTGGTAACTGGTACTGGGATTTGGGATTTGCTCTGCGCACCCACTACTTGCTCCAGAGCAGTTACCCAGGCCTAGGCCTTGTCGCCTCTCACTCTCCCACTACCACTACCAACTACCAGTACGAAAGCAAATCCTAAATCTACGGCTGGGGCGCTTGAGACGACAGGCTTATGACATGAGGGGTGGGGGTGGTGTTGTTTGTATCGCTTTCGCTTGGGCTGGTGGGGAAACTAGATCTAGACTAGATTAGGCCTAGGCCTAATTGGATGAAGAAAGGGTGTTTGAAAAGTTTGAAAGCAGCTGTCTAGTGTCTAGATATCTAAACACATGTGTTTGTCTATGCCCTGCACTGTTGTGTCATGCCAGTGCCTCGCTTCTCTTCGTTATTGTTCTTCTTGTCATGTGGGACTAGATCATTGTTCTTAACAAAAACACACGTTTAGGATTAGGAATATTTTAAATTGTTTTCTTAGCTTTTGATCTTTGAATAAACAATTAAACCAACATATTAAAGCTGGGACCACGACCCCCCCCCCCCCCCCCCATTTCCTCCAAAACATAGATCTACATCATTTTAAAAAGCACCCGCCTAAATCTCTTCACGCGACTATTCTAATTCAAATAATAATGAATTTATTAGATCTAGATCTAGATATGTACAACATAACCTAGCCCAGGGCCCAGAGCCCAGAGCCCCCCCAGTGAACCAGTCCTCAAGTTGTGATGTTGTGATAGGCCAATTAATTCCAAAACCCGCACTATTGTAGGCCTAGGCAAGTTCTAATGTCGCACATCCGCCCGCACAGTGCACAGTCGCGCAGCGCGCAACGGGATTTCGTCTGCTAGGCCTAGGCCTACTGGTACTGGTAACTGGTAGTGGTACTGGATTTGCTCTGCTACTTGGTTTTGCTCTGCTACTTGGTTTTGCTCCTGCTACTCAACGCAGCGCGACAGACTCAAGAAGGGGAGTATACTCTCTACTCATGAGTCCCAGGATTTGGGTTTGGTACTGGGATTTGGGAGTATCTACTGGATTTGGTACTGGGATTTGCTGTTACTCATTTCCGGCAAATTTGCCCACCACTAGTATCCTAAGAGACTTTAAATAACACAGTAAGAAAAGAAACAAACCTGAACAACCCTTCAACATCAAGTCCATATTTGTACAGATACTCGACACATTCATCCACAATGTAAGGAATTCGACGACCCTCCTTTTTCTCCCAAAATATTATGTCTTCCAAAGACTGGCTGAACAAAGCTGAGAAAGGAATATTCAATACAGAATACAGATTTCTCAAATCACATACAGTACAATCAAATTTTCTTGATTATCATGGTGAAATGACATACATTAAAAGATTTATCATTTTAGCTGCCTCATGCTGTACACACAAAATTAAACAAAAAGTTCTTGGAATAAGCATCTGCGTGAAAAAACATGCATTCAATATCACAATAGTAAAGGGAGATGGAAGCTGCCAAAAAAAGAAAAGGGGAAGGGACAAAAACGGCATCTGCAAATAAAAAAAAAGAAAAGACGTTTTTGCATAGTTTTGTGAGTTCTCCACACACATTCTACTTAGCTTCTAAAATATTATAGCTAGATTTTTATGGTAAATATCTCCATAAGAAATACCTGATTATGTTATTCTGTATATCAATACACAAAAATAAAGGGAAGGAAAGGCAGAACAAAGGAAAAGAGAGAAAGGAGAAAGACGATCAATGATCTAGATGGAAGATGGAGGAACAGAGGAAAAACAAGATAAGGCATTTGAAAAACCTAGTGTTTAATTAATAAAATACCTCCTCCTTTATTGGCATACAGCGCTTTTTTCAGCGAATGAATCCACAGTTTTTTCTCTTCTTCTGTTTCAGCCAGTAAGTGCAACACATCAGGTTTTTCCTTCTGAGGTTCTGTATTTACAAAATATCAAGACAACATTTTTTTCATGAAGTTTTTGGGTGGGTGTGCATTGCATGTTCATACCATTGGTCTAAAGTAAATCCCAAAGAAAAGCATGCTAGTACCTCTTAACAAAAACTTGACAAGAATCAATTATAATTAGAAGGATTTTTTTAAAAGGACTAAAGGTTGATTCTGTGCACAATAAAATCAGTACAAGTAACAATATTTCTTTAAAAAGACTAAAGGTTGATTCTGTGCACAATAAAATCAGTACAAGTAACAATATTTCTTTAAAAGGACTAAAGGTTGATTCTGTGCACAATAAAATCAGTACAAGTAACAATATTTCTTTAAAAGGACTAAAGGTTGATTCTGTGCACAATAAAATCAGTACAAGTAACAATATTTCTTTAAAAGGACTAAAGGTTGATTCTGTGCACAATAAAATCAGTACAAGTAACAATATTTCTTTAAAAGGACTAAAGGTTGATTCTGTGCACAATAAAATCAGTACAAGTAACAATATTTCTTTAAAAGGACTAAAGGTTGATTCTGTGCACAATAAAATCAGTACAAGTAACAATATTTCTTTAAAAGGACTAAAGGTTGATTCTGTGCACAATAAAATCAGTACAAGTCACAATATTTCTTTAAAAGGACTAAAGGTTGATTCTGTGCACAATAAAATCAGTACAAGTAACAATATCAGACAGAACAACAAAAAAACACCCCAACAAAACAAGAAAGCAAAAACATTGAGACCAAAAGTGAACTGGAGAACTGCTTTTACAGGAAGGAAAAAAGACAGGAAATGATTGGATAATACAGTTTGTCATCACAGACAAGAGATCAAACTGACTCCTACTCCCCCCCCCCAAATTTTTAATTCTGACATCGGCAAAACTATCCTCACATATTTACAAATATATACCTGATACAATGTCAAAATAGCCTTGTTTTGGGTCATTGTAATCTGCTGGTGGTTCCACAATAATCTGTTTGTCGAGAGTAATTATATCCTGAGGTTTCTGGTCATCTTCCCGGTTGTACAGGAAAAAACATTTGTCGTTGAGAACACACCAACGACGAGGCCATGTCTTCAGGGCTCCACCTTTACGCTTTAACCATCCTTGCACACCATCCTTCGTTTTCCTAGTGCTTGTATTCATATTTAGAGGCTGTGAAAGAAAACACATTGGTATAGAATTGCACCAGAATTTTTTTTTTGAATAACTTCAAATTAAAAGAAATTTCCTTTTCAAAAACTCTTGAGGATGGAAACACAAGAAGGCAGTCTATCGACACAAACTTCTTGAAACAGAACTCTTATTTAACCCTTCACTTCACTAATCTTTCAACCTCTTCCTCAGTCTTCATCCATTTCAGAGTTGCATCCTGAGGTGACAGTACAACCTTGGAAGGAGTACTTTCACAACTTCCTGTGAACTACCTTCCCTTCCAATTTAATCAAGACTATTGGGAGAAGATTATGATGAATCTGAGTCATGACATGATAGACACTAATCAATTTTTGGGTGTAGGCATATTGGAGTTACTGGTATCATCTTCAAGCTTGTTTACAAACTTGTCTTGCCTTTGATGAAAAAAAACACCCCCCTTGAATAGAATTTGAGGTATTTGCTTCTATATTGAAGGAGGTGGAGGTTGCTTGGTGTCAGGTAAAATTAGCGAAAAAATAGCTGCCAACGTTTGCTGACTTCCAAAGCTTGAGTGTCCTTGGAAACTGCAAAATTTACACTGTATGTGTCTTTGGCCAACATTTTCCCATAAAGTTAACAAAGAGAATGTGTTCTAAAATGGAAACAAAAGGTGTTAAAAAGCCATTGTAAAAAAGGACAAAGATTGCCCAACAGTGGAAAAATGCTGGTTTCTTTGATTTCATTATTTTGACGAGCACCTTATAATATATATATAACCACAATACCACAGATTTACATGGCCTTTATACAAGCTCCCAAAACAACAAAAAAAGAAAAAGAAAGAGAAGCTAGAGGGACCAAGGCATCAGAAGATATTTACCCTGTTTAAAAAAAAAGAATTGTTTAAAAATACAAACAAACTCAAAGGATGTCCCTTCCAAAATAGTATGATTTCCAGGCTACACCTTTACTTTAAGGCCAGCTCTATTCGGACTCGAGTCCGAATATAATTTTTATCTATTCGGACTCTGTCAAATGTTGAACCCCTGGGAAGACGCAGAGATAAAGCAGTTTTGGAGCTTCATGAAAGAACCAAAAGAATGTGCTCCAACCACCCAAACAGGAAATTAGTAGAAACATGGAAACCAAAGAAACGACTTCAAAAAAATCAGTCATGCATCGCATCACAGAACTAATGGAGAGCCACCATCTACCACAAAACAGAAGAGAAACCAAAAGAGTCAACCAAAACATCCCTTCCCACATTTCTATGGAAAAAACAATCATTAAAACTTCTCTCAGAGACAATAGCACAAAATCTTCAGACCCAGTGAAGTTGATGCTTGCATCACATCAAACAATCGACAGCTATTCAGATGACTGGATACATGTCTATACAGACGGCTCAACATTCAAAGGCACAACCAAAGCCGGATATGGAATACTAATACAATACCCAGATGGAAGTTCCAATGAGATCTCTACAGCCTGTGGAGAGAAATGCAACAACTACGACGCAGAAATGATAGCAATTGAAACAGCACTATACCATCTCCGCACAGTTTTTGACACTCATCTAAACAAAACACAGAGTATAGTGATCTTCACTGACTCACTATCAGTCTTGCAAGCAATAGAAAATGATCACCATCTAAACGAAGACTTGACACATATACTGTTTGGCTCCCATCATCTGATAACATTTTGTGGCGTCAACCTGGTGATGCAGTGGATTCCTGGACACTCAAACATACCTGGAAATGACAGAGCAGACACACTCGCCAAAAGGAGATCTAGACAGGAACAACCCAACATTCCAACTTCATACAACACTGCAAAACAAATCATTAAAAGCAACAGCAAACAAGATTGGATGAACAGATGGGCCTTGGGAAAGACAGGCAGAGCAGTTTTCAAACATATGACTACAACAAAATGAAATGGCAATATCAACCACCTACAGAGAAAGAAACAGACCACGATCTTCCGCCTACGAACAGAACATATACAGCTCAACTTTCACTTGAACAGAATAAAACCAGAACTTCCCCCAATGTGTCCTTTGTGTGACTATGCATATGAGACATTGGAACATCACCTTTTCCACTGTACAGCCCTAAATGACATCAGAGCTACCCTTCTCCCTCCGAGACCTAACTTCGACAACACACTCTACGGAACATTACAGCAACTGTAGCAAACCTGCACTTATCACTACATGGCATTGGACAGAAGGGCGAGAGCCCAGATGTTGCTGGATCGATAACAACAACAACAACAACAACAACATCTATTCCGACTCGGGTCCGAAATTTTTTTTTATTTATTCGGACTCAGTTTCTAAATGAGTCTTGTGAGTGCAAGGAGGTTACATAATATACGGTCATCGGGGGATTTTACGTAACACCAGAATTAGAACTAGAATTGCCTACTAGGATTGTGTAATTCACAGTGTTACTTTTCGTCCGATTCTGTTACCTTTAGCTAGCGTGATTCAGGAGCCCGCCGGAGCTCCCTGGCTCGGGGTCACGGGGTTAAAGAGCCCTGAAGCAACTTTGCCGGTTAGGAAGTTCGCATTTTTGACTATGTTTAAAACGATATAACTTCTTCCCCATCCCACACAGCAAAACATTACGCAGATGTACTAAAAGCTCAATGTCTTGGATTTATTCGGCGTTAGAATGGTTAATTTCTGTGTCTTAGTTTTTGTTCTAGACAAGTGTTTGTAGAGTACCCAATTTGTTCTATTTTAGTTAAAAACCTATGAATAAATGATTGATAATTTTCAAAAGGCACGACAGATCTCTCCAAAATCTGTGTTAAACCGACTACGAATATCATGTCTTTTACCATGAAAAATCTTAAATCGGCGCGAATAGTAATAGTCAAGTTATAAGAGAAGAAAGAAGCACATCTGCATTTTTTAACTAAAGACGATCAGCGTTCTAAAGCTGTTATTTTACTATTAAACAAGAGAAAGTTACTCTGCGTTTGTTCATGAATCATGCTGTGTCTGTGGCAGCCTGCACACAACTAAAAAAAATATAATATAAGCGATTAAAAAACCCCATAAAACTGTGTAAATAAATGGGTAGAGAAAACTTTTTGTATGGAATAAAAATAATGACAACTAACACATCCATTCCTAGTTTTTGTGTCGGAAATATGCGCGGACACAATTATGAATGTAAAGAAACCAGAACATTGTCAGTTTTATTGAAAAGGTCATAGAAACGAAGAATAAAGCTGGAAAAGTCTGGTGCTGACTCAGTGTCCCTGGAAAGCTAGAAATTATTCTTATAACCCAATTACGAGAAGTCATCCCTATTATTCAGTTAACTTACAAAACCTATACTTAGCGTTTTAAGAAAAGTAAGGAATTTTTGGAGTGTATCAGATACTGTTCGTGTATTACATTGAAGATGAACTCTGGCACTAAAATCGATTTGCACTTTTCATAGAGAAACTTCCTGGTAACTTTTATAAACTTTCGAGAAAATATGCGAATATTCACTATTATAAATATATTAGACACATAAAGTTGTATTTGAAGGAATTACTTCATAGCGAATTGTGTGCCCGATGGATAAAGTTGCAAAATTAACCGCTTTTTATTATAAGCGCGCAGATTCCATCATTTTTGAGCATCTTCACTAATGCTATGTCGTTCATGTTCCAAAATTTGACAGATTTTGTAGAGGTCATTTTTTTATATATTGATTTTTTTTCTTTCACGCTTGCCGACTCCAGCCCGTCTAACGAAATAACCAGACAAGTTACAACGTCCGTTCTTTTTTGAGTCTCAAGAGCAGAAATGCATGCTTTGGGTGGACTAAATGAGAATTACCATAAATACAAGGATACACCTAGAATTGTACGTTGAAAAGTACCAAAAATTAAGTTGGCCTAGACAGAGCAGCGACAGGGAGCTGACCCCCGTGACCCCAACGTGATAAGGCACCCGGCGGGGAACCCCCCCGTGGCAATTAAAATCCCACTGCCGGTGCGCCATGAATTGTGCACTCTCATTAGATCTACCCAATGGCTGTGTTTAAGTACATGGTAGGTAACCGACAACTCAGGGTCTTTCCACCACCACTACAGCATCATCATTACTTCCACCATCCTTTTTGTTTCAACATATATATGTTTAATTTCATTTTGTTGTGTGTTATAGTTTTTCTGTAATTTTCTTTTCTTTTACGAAGTGGCTAGCCGTACCTAAGTACGGCTAGACTGCCAGTCTAGCCGTACTTAGATCTAGGTTTGGCCCTATCGACTCAAGCCTGTTAAGTACACAGGTCTCATTAGATCTAGATCTAGTAATTATTCAGGTTCAAATACATGCAAGTCAGTAAGGCACCTTTTGTTTTTGTCTGAAATACAAATACATTAGGTATTGCAAACTAAAAATTTCATTTACAATTCAGCCATCAATATTAAGTACGGCTAGCCTGGCAGTCTAGCCGTCCTTAAGTACGGCTAGCCTGGCAGTCTAGCCGTCCTTAAGTACGGCTAGCCTGGCTGTCTACCCGTACTTAAGTACGGCTAGCCAAGAAGTCTGCCAGTCTAGCCGTACTTATCTTAGGCCCTATTAACATTAGAAAACAGGAGGTTTAAAATACACGCACTGTCATTAAGGCACCTGGTTCCGTCTCAAATACAAATACTTTAGGTACTGCACACTAAAAATTTATGTTTACAATTCAGTAGGCCTATTTTTTTTTTAAATGGTCAGTCTAGCCATCATATTAAGTATTAAGAATAAGTACGGCTAGACTGCCAGTCTAGCCGTCATTAAGTACGGCTAGCCTCTTCCTTTCTTTTATCACATCGCACAAAACGCTATGGCCTCTTCCCCCAGCGAGCCGAGAGTGCGAAATCGCTATGCGCAGTCTCATTGGTCGACATAATTAACTTTGTCCCTGGCAAGGTCAGCTCAACTTGATCGTTCTGTTCATACCAATGATGCAGGGAGGGCCAGTTTAGATAGATCTAGTAACTGGATATTAAAGCTCACGTCTCGACAGTTATCATTATAATTGAAAAACTGTTCGTAAATGCTGGAAATATTTAGGAACAACGGTCGGAAGTCGGAACGGACATCATGCTGGACTCAATTCAGAGTCAGAATATAATTTTTCTCTATTCAAACTCGAGTCCGAATAGTCACTTCGTTACTTTTAACTCCAAAGTAAAAGGCCGTCGTTATTCGGACTCAAGTCCGAATAACATTTTTTCATATTCGGACTCGAGTCTGAATAAAAAAAATTCTTATTCGGACTCGAGTCCGAATATGAAAAAATGTTATTCGGACTCGGGTCCGGAAAAAAGGAAGTGTCTTCGTTCTATAGATCTAACGTTCAGTGCTTCCAATTTTCCGCCATTTTTTAGTTTCGCTGGGGGGAAAAAGACTGATGCGTATGCGACGTTCAAAGCTGGACCGATAGTGCCCCCCCGACCCAACCACCCTCCCCGACACGCACACAGCCACACGTGTGCAGGCCGCCCATCCGACCCCGACACATGCTAACGAGCCATCTTTAATTGCTTCTGATGACCTCTTGACAAATAAACATTTATTAGAAGAGCTATAACTTTTCAGGCCGGCCTCAAATTCATCATAAGATTAAAACTCCGCTCCTGCACAAAACGCCTTTTTGCCTGAAGTGATCCCGAATCAGAGACCGAATAACATTTTTTCATATTCGGACTCGAGTCCGAATAATCACTTCGAAAGTAAAATACAGTAACTTAAGATTACAACAAGTGCGAGATCGATCTGCAATGTAACAACAACAAAAATTTTTTTAAATACTGCAGTTTGGCCCCCAAAATAGTGCAGCCTGTGTGCAGGAGTGAAAGTAAAAAATTAAATATGTGTAAAGATGTTCTTCATTGATTCCATTGCATTCACAGCTTCACCATGATCGAAGCAAGTAACTTGTAATATAAGAATCATCAAAAATGACGTTTGTAAAAAGAGCTAAAAAATCTCTCAATTCATGCAAAAATGCTCCGCAGAGCAATGAAATTATAAATTATTGTGAGAACAACATTAAAACATTAAAAAATACACAATACACAGTACACAGCACACATGATTATAAATCAATTGGGTAACTTAATAACTAACCATAGGCAACATCTTGAATTGTTCGCCTCTCACTCTCAGGAGCAATCTTCGATTCGTTCAAAAAAAGGCATCTGCACTGTCTTTGACTTGACTTCTTCAGTCAGTGTGTAGACTTAAGTACTTCATTTTCACGCCTTTCATGGACTTCTAATATACCATGTATCCTCGGCCTCTACTTCAGGGTAAAAAACAACAGCGGGTACTTGAATTGAGACATAGAACAGAGACTTATCAATAACTAGATCTAGGGCTACTAGATATATAGATCTAGATCTAGATTCTAGATCTAATATTAAGTTACTGTTACAATCATAACACTGTCATTGTACAAGAATGAAGTGGAATTGTAGACTTCCAGATTTATCTTGTACTCGTTGTATCAACACCTGCGCCGTTAGAAATCCAGTTTTTAACTGTTAACACAGCAGCCGGTACACGAGTAACTATGGTGGTTAATTAATAGATCTAGTAACAACGCCTAAATTTTAAAATGTTCATAGCCTATAGTCCTATAGCAGTCGCGCTAATTAGCCCACTGGGACAGCCCACTACCGATGGAGCTAAACTGCAGTTGAACCTGAAAAGACAAAAAACTGAGGTAGGCCTAGATCTAGATCTAGACTAATCTAGGTTTTCTAGATCTAGTCTAGATATCTAGTCAAAGTGTAGAGGTCTAGATCTAGACTAGATTAGATTCTAGATATATTCTAGATCTAGATTATAGATCTAGAATCTAGATCTAGATTCTAGATCTAGATCTAGATATCTAAGTTCTTGCACTTTGACTTGGGTCTGCTCTGAATAAACAAAATAGTCGGTCAGTTATAAGGTAACTAAAGATGCCTTTCACACTTGGGCGTTCACTAATAATCGTACACATTTATACTCGAGTTCAACAATATTCAATCAAGTTCAGAAGTTTTTGTTCCATTTTTATTACACACAAAATAGTTGAACTGTTTACAGAAGACCGAAACCAGATCAAAACACACTGCATTTCCGCTTCCTTGTTGTCCTCCACCCACTTTCGCGGTTGCCAGATTTCCTCAATGTGTAATACACAACTTTGAGATTTTGATCTCATTTGTTCATCAGGACAAGATCCTGTCCATTTTTTAAATTTCTGCAATACAGATACATGTAGGCCCCAACAATGTATTCCCAGTCGTAAGAGAAGTATACTTTGTAATTTGGTTGGCCCTCTTCTCCTTGCAAAATCAAAGTTTCATGTTCCTATGGTTAAGGTCGCAAATATGAAAGGACATACAATAATGATCAATTGAATGTTGAAGAAGTTTAAAATGCATTCTAATACAATTAAAATACGAAACTCAGTCTCAATTTTCTCACATCAGAGGCCCTGAAAATAATGTGAAATGCACTCTTATCATATAGGTGCGGGGGCCCGGACTAGATCTACTTAATTCATGGTACTGGTCATGAAATTTCTTCATTACCAGTAGGCTAATTAGTAACCATGAAAACTTCCGTTCCCTGACGTCCTGTCAGTTGTTTTTTTTAATTTACAAAAAAATGAAAATAACAACAAAAGGAATAGTCGATTTTTTTTCATGGATAGACGACTTAATTCTGACGTCAACACAATAAAAGGCCTTTAAACTCTCTTTCTGATTGCACGTTGGTTTGTATTGGCACAGAGAGGGACATTTATCTTTTGTAGAAGAGCTTACATATAATTCTGATTTCTTTAAATCTTTTTCATAAAGTCATCACCGAAAACGGTGTATTACAATTCTCAGTGTAGTCTAACTCCAGTAAAAACATTAATTTTGATCGAACGGTACTAGATATAAGGCTATTTTGTGTGTAGTTAAGATCCAAACAGGCAGTGCTGTTCTTCTATCTCGAAAATCGATAAGGATTCTCAGAAAATAACAGTTCATGTGAATTATGATTTATTGATAATTATTTTAATAGTTTGCCACAAAAAATATGTCATTGTATTGTGGGTTAAGATCATACCGTTCAAACAAAAAAATAGGCAAAAAAGAGGTATTAATATTGTAATCTCGCCAAGAACGATAATGAAAACTGCACAAAAAATGTTGACGTCAGGCACAATAATTTCCCTCAACAATGATGAGTGATCTCTAGCCTGCTAGAATACTGAACGTAGTAAGCTGACTCACTTGGAATACATTTCGACATTATCTCCCAACTCTAATCTTGGTGTTATTTCTGGATGTACTGTGAAGGTAATCGTTGGTCGCTTTTTTAAGTTTTCGAAAGATGAAAGTTAAATAGGCTACAGTTTCTGTAGTCTGTAAGATCAAGAAGGCAGATCTAGACTCTAATAGCCTAGGACTAGGATTCTATTCACCACCAGTCTTGCCCAGCCTTCTTCACTTTAGTTGGTTCTCTACTTCAAGAGCGTCCATCAACACTAAAACCTGTCTCGTTTAGAGAATTTGATCAAGGAACTCCTTTTATTTTTTCTGTTGATGTTGATATTTTCCTGTGTATTTGAACTGAACTAATAGGATAGGCTCGAGGTATGGTCATGAGGAAGCGACTAGACTACCTGACTGTAAGTTAGAATCTAGGCAAGGCTTACTGTGAGTTGTTGGCTTGGTTCGTGTGTAGATTCTAGTCTTAGACTATTTACTTATCTAGATTCTAGATCTAGATTCTAGATCTATAGATCTAGTCTAATCTAGTATAGAACTAGACTAGATTCTAGATATATATCTAGATCTAGATCACGTGGTATTCCAAATACGGTCAAGATTTAATGGCTTGTGATAACGATAAATTGTTGTGTGTTGATTAAACATTTATTAAACAAGTATTTTCTTTATATTGTTTCCTTGAACAAGAGCACCTCGAGCACAATCAACCTCTCCATATTGAATAAGTGTTCGGAGTGATACTCACCGACCTATAAGTATCAGGCCTAACCCTGATTGCACTCTCATTAGATCTACCCAAATGGCAGTGTCTAAGTACTGTACGATAAAACCGACAACTCGGGGTCTTTCCACCACCACAACAGCATCATCATTACTTCCACCACCACTACAGCATCATCATTACTTCCACCACCACTATACAGCATCATCATTACTTCTACCACCATTGTCTTTCCACTTGTTTAATTTTTTTTTATTGAGTGTTGAGTTTTTCTGTAATTTTTTTAAAACATCACATCGCACAAAACCGACAGCCGTGTCCCCTTCCGAACACCTCTTCCCCCATAAGCCGAGAGTGTGATTGCTACGCACAGTCTCATTGGTCAAAACAATTAACTTTGTCCCCGGTAAGGTCAGCTCAACTTAGTTTTGTTCATATAAACATGACGATCGACGCAGGGAGGGCCAGTTTAGATAGATCTCTAGTAACTGGATATTAAAGCTCACGTCTCAATTGTTTTATCATTATAATCGAAAAAAATGTTAGTAATACATACTGGAAATATTTAGAAACAAGTGTCGGAAGTCGGAACGGACATCATATGGACTCAATTCAGAGTCCGAATATAATTTTTGTCTATTCGGACTCCAATTGTCACTTCGATTAGTTCGTTATTGTCACCCTGACTTCCACTACTTCCAGTTACTTCACAAAGTATACAGACCCGGTAGGAGAACTCTTTTGTGATTTCGGAAAGTTTCAGCGCCCTCTTGGCTCAGGGTAGAGTTGGAGGAATCACAATTTGGAGAAAAGAACAAAGTCACAATTTCAATCGAGTATTCCCCTCTCTGTTTCTCTGCCCCCCCCCCCCCCCCATCTCTTTTTCTCTCTCTTTCTCTTTCTTTCTCTCTCTCTCTCTCTCCTTTGTCTCTGTGTATCGCTCGTATTCTCTTTTCCTTTGTTTGTCTCTGTCTTTCTCTCCCCCCACCTATTTTTCCCACTCTTATCTTTCTCTCGACATGTCGTTTCCATTTTGCTTGCACTTCCCTCTGCTCTCTCTCTCTCTCTCTCTCTCTCTCTCTCTCTCTCTCTCTCTCTCTCTCACACACACACACACGCAGGCACACACACACACACATACACATACACACACACACACACACACACTACCGGGTGTGGGAGCTGAAACTTTCCGAAATCACAAAAAAGTTCCCCTACCGGGTCTGTATACTTCGTGACTTTGTACCCGGTTACCGGGTCTGCACTTCGTTAAAAAAATGCTTCCTCGCAGAATGAAAGGATGACGCCTAAATCTCGCAAATAACCAAAAAACCTCGAGATCAGAAACCGTTCTGAGAATTTATACAGTTCAACTTTATTTTCCTGAGTGTTCGGAGAAATAAATAGTCACTTCTTTAAATTCATGTGTTTGGAAGAGTGAAGACTAGAATCTAGATTCTAGCATCTAGAAATTGACTTGTGATTTTAGACAGAAAATCACTGTCAGAAAGAAACTATTTTGCTAATTTGTCTAGATCTCTAGAGAAATTGTCTGTGCAGTGATACTGGGAATGTGCTTAAGAGCCGCTGTGAAAGATTATGCTAAAACTAGACCTAGATCTACTAAAATCGAGAATGATTTGAAGTGGTGTTCCTGAGGTTTATATTTTATGACATTCGGCTTTCAAATGAAAACGTAGGTTTTAGGGTATACATACACGCTGTGTTTAACACTACTGTTTCAATAAATGATGTCTTCATTATTCCAAGGTTTGCCTTAGCTGTCTGTTGTACGATAACAAATTTTTAATTGAATTATAAATCATAGCGACAAGTTAGCAGTGGCCAGGGGAACCTGCAGTTTCAAACATTGCCAGCAATGGAAAGATTTGTAGTTGAAGAAATCAAGCAAGAAAACATCTTGGGTAAAAAAAATATACCTCTGTGTTATAATGGGTTGTTTGAAATCTCTTTCAACTGGCTCCCAAATGCCGTTTTCTACCCTCTGAAAGCACACTAAATTGCAATTTCTTGACCCCAAGCCCCCCCATCCCCCTCTTCCCCCCACCAGAATTTTTCCTAATTTTCAGCTTTAAAGCTAGTTGTTGGAAGCACTGAATAGGGGAGGGGATGGTTGTTTTTTTTTGGTAAGTGTTTTACGGCGCTCGCAACTGCATAAGGTAATGAGCGGCGGACACACCTAATACTTTTAGTTGGTAGGAAATTTTGAATTTTGCCCGCGTGGCGGCCGAAGCCTTACTCTTATCGATTTTAGACCACCAAAGGATCTTTAACGTGCGCAACTTGCACGCGGGCCCTCCGAGATTTTTCGCCCTTGTCCGAGAAGGCTAGGTGTAGATCTTTCCTACCAGAAGATCAGGGGTGTGGCAGAAAGACAGCTGTAAGAAGGAGTCAAGGAGTAGCAGTAGAAGAGGAAAAATGAAAGCAGACGACAGAATATTGCTAGAGAGCAGGAAAGGAGGTGAAATGAGACAATTTTAGAGAAGAAAATGTTTCGGTCGCTACCCGGATTCGAATCCGGGACCTTTGAATGAGAGGCCAACACCTTAACCTCTAGGCCACGAGAGCCCCCGGGGATGGTTTATAAAGAGCTGAAAATGTGAAGACTAGCGAGTGCTGTGTGTTTTTTGGGTTGCAAGTGAGAAAAAGTGGCTTTGGACTTACGAAAGAAAAATTTTGTAACACAACACTGCATTGTCACAGTAATTTGATTGCATATAACACTAGAACCAGTGGTAATGCTGCTTCAGTGTAGCAAAAGAGGCCAGCTTTTGTAAGACAAGTGGAGGCTTTGATCTCAAGAGAGAGGAACAACAAGGAATAAAAATCTATTGAAAAAATGACTGCTTTAAGACTGACTCTAATCGGCAGATTTCAGTACGAGCCTCAAAATGTTCCAGAATGTAAATGAACATGCAATGAATGTAAAAGATTTTTTCTTGCTTGTCCATGCCACCCTCGCTCCCCTCTCCCCAACCACTCTTACCACTGGTTTCCTTCAAGTTCTCCTTGAGTAAAAATGACGCTGCATTATCAGTTACGGTTGTGAGGAGGAATTCTGTAATGAGCGACCACTCTATGAAATTGATAGAGGGTTTAGGGTTTGGGTCCGTGTTAGGTCCTTTCTTTAAATGTGTTTGTTGGGTGGTCGCTCTAAACAGAAGTTCTTCTGTGAAGTGTGTGGTAGAGCAGGAGGCAAAAAAGTATAACCCAGAGCTCAGACTGACTTCGACAGGCTTCTTAAGTGAATTTTTATTTTTAAAAGGGTTCTTGGTTCTGGGGCATGCACATTTCATTATAGAGAAAAAATTCCATCAGCTGAAAAAAGAGGATGCTTATTAGGCAAAGATCACTGCACTAAGAAAGGTCTAAAATCGGTTCTTTCTGGGGGGGTTATCAGGTATTGCACATTCAGTTAATTAATTGACAGAGTAAGTTAGAATATATAATATATGCAGTATCCGCCTAAAATCCCACCGCTTACGACCCCGGTTCGCTTAAGATCCCGCTGTTTTAAGAAAACAGAATTTTTACTATACAAAAGTCACCCCTAAGATCCCGCTCTGATTCACTCTTAAGGTTTACATTCAGCTAAGATCCAGCATTTCAGATCATAATTTGCGGAACAAAAACCCGGGCGGGTACAGTCGATCAAGCAAGAGTGGAAAGTTTAGATCAATAAACTGTCCGTCGCGTCAAAGATCAGCCACTATCGTGAATGTGATCACATACACGTTGTAAAACTGGATGAAGCGCTACAATGTTTGCCCCCAACGGGATCACACCGGGGTGTGAACTGACCAATGCGTATGTTTTCCCCATGCATTGCACTCACACCTGAGCTCTCCCCCTAAACTTACATCACTCGCTGGGTGGATAGGGCCTACACGTTCGTTCCAGGTGGGATCACCTCGAACCGTGAACTCTTCCCTGACCACTGCAGTAGGCGTTGATTGCAGCAGTTGTCTCTACGCTCGAATTTGCTAGACAGACTGAATTTTAATTGGTGTGTTCATGACGTACTGGTGTGTAACGACAAAGGCGTTTGGGGGGGGGGGGGACTCGGTCAGAGATGGAAAGTTATAAATTGTCGACAGGTAAAGGGGAGGGGCAACTAAATAAGCGTAGATCTTGAGACTCAGGATAATAAGTGAAAATGGCACGCCTCATGGCCCTATGCACTGTGATAAGCCATCAAGGCTAACCACTCTTTGCTCGCCATATGTCACAAACCCACCAAGGCCAAGGGGTCATGTCAGTTCATTTTAAGGTGGAGGGAGACCATTTTACTGATTGTAAGCCTTAACATGGGTCCCCATAGATTCTTCCCTGGGATCGTCGGTTAAGATCCCGGTTCGCCTAAGGTCCCGCATTTCTTTGCTCCCGAGCACCGGGATCTTAGGCAGAGACTGCTGTATATTGTAGATTTCAGTGATTTTTATAAACAAGAATTTTACCTCCCTTGGACAGTTGAGTGATGATTCTGCATTGTTCAACATTTGCAGCTGTCTATGGATTAGGCGTCGTGTATGAATTCCCATTATTATTCTCTTAAAATTGATTATATATATTAGGTTTGGAATTTGTGTATGGAAATCAACAAAATGACTCTAGAGCGACTTTTTGTCTTCTGGATTTTGAAGAACACAAAAGCAGAAGTATTTTACTAAGATTGTGCATCATGTACAGTCAAACGTGCCCCCTAATGGAAAAATGTGTAAGACGGAAACCTGTCGTAAAACAGAATCTCCCTGCCCCCCCGATAAATTCTTCTGTAATTACCTGCTCTGTAAAACAGAAACGTGTCTTACCTCGGAAATGGAAGGAGAAATTGTACCTCTTCGTTTTGGAGGGTTTAAGTATGTCTTAGGACGGAAGGTGCTTTGTCAACTAACTTATCCCTGATTTGAAACAAGACTATTAAGTTTGGTTCCATCAGTTTTAACCTTTACGCCATGCCGCCAGGCAAGGAAGGGTAGTAGGGGTGTAATTTAGGGGTAGATGTTTCCCCTTCCATGTGAACCCGTGGCGGTGTAGATAGTCAGGGTGGTGTGGGTAGGAAGTCTCACCAGTGCGAGTGCCTGTGAAAGTGTTTTGAGTGGAACTCCAGCAGGCAAATTTTTACTGGTAGTCTGAGGCGAGAAGTGGGAAATTAGTTTGACCAATGCCTGCCTCCCTGATCGTATAACCAGCCATGAAAAGAGTGTTCCTCAAATCGTTGTACATGCACAGGAGGGGTGGAGTTGTTTGACTGATTACATCGATGGGTGCGACTAAGTCAAGACTCTCAAACGAAGGAGATGTTCAAACATTTTTGTTTTTAATAGCTCAAACTGTGATCCTATGAAATGCAAGCACTGGTCGCAATAAATAAATAGGACTGATGCATGCCACTATCAGAGAAGATAGCACTTAAGATGTTTGAGAAGTGTGAAGTTTTGGTCACTGCTTGCAAACCGGACAAGCATCCCTTGATCCCACTGGCTGGGCCTCTGAAACCCCATTCCATCTCCCCATACAATTCCCGTGTCAGAGACAGAATTTTTTTCTGGTTCCCTTGTGATTCTGTCTTACGCATGTTTGACTGTGCAGTCAAATCTCGTAGTTGGGAAAGCATGAAGTTGGCAGAATAGCAGGACAAATGCGATTTGATTAGACTCCTCTGTTAATTAGCCCAGACTGCCCAAGGCCAAGGGACGTGATTTTGCTTTGTGATAATATAATGTGTTCTTTGGAAAAATGTCTTTTTGTTGTGATTTGTACACAACAAGTATTGTAGAGTTGAGAGTGTTCTCCCTCCCTCTCCCCCCCCCCCCTTTCTCTCTATCTCTCTCTCTATCTCTTTCTTTCTCTCCTCTCCTCCCCCCCCCCCCCTTCTTCCTTCTCTATTTCCCTCCTTCTTTGAGTTAGATTGAAATGCAAAGGACAGTTGGTTGGCCAAAAACTGCACATTTTTGGTCTGAAGTTCTACCCATGGCTTTTGCACTTATTTTTCATTTCACATGGTCTTTTAAAGGTGATGAGACGTTGAAGAAATGTACAGTGGAGTCCGCTTAAACTGAAAACTGCTGGACTGCCAAATTTTCATTGGTTTAGCCATGTTTTCAGTTTGGAGAGGGTTGCTCAAATAGAGATAAATTGAGATTTTTCTCATTTACTTTACCTCTTGTGGTAATTAAATTGCATATCGAGCAACAGACTTTATGCTTTGTTCTTTTTCTTTGACATTGTGACACTTGTTTGCTCTTCGGAGTGCCAAGCAGTCACACAGAACAGATGAAAGGTGCTCTGCATTAGTCTTGAGAAGTGAGGAACCTCAATGCCAGTAACATCATGAAACACACCGAACACGGTTGCATGCTCATGTGTAGGGCCTTTATGAACTAACTTCGCAGAGACAATATATATAAGGCCATGACCTACTGAAGGTCGAGCGTGATAGATCATCACATGTACTTTCGCTGTCATTGCTTCACGAGGCCTCTATAGACAGTACGCAGGCTCAGTGATTTGTGTTGGCCTCTATGGAGTCAAGGAGTGCGCTAGCAATGCTTCTCTCTAGATGCAGTCTACACATGTGCATTCTCGTGTCTCTTTCTCCTGCTTCTCTGTCTGAAGATTTGATGATTCGTGTCACTTTTATGGGTTGCTATTGAAGATTTAGTTGACATAATCCTTGCAGTTCTTTTCAATTTAGAAATGGTAAAATTTTGCCAACAGCTCATTTGGTATCAAAGCTTAACCCTGGTACAAATGACCGTGGTTGAAATCCCCTTATTTCAATGTGCTCTTGAAATTGGGTGGTTTGGAAGTGTTTCCAAGACATCATTGATGATCATGGTACCCCACCTACTTGGCTTGGTCCTATTGGGGATAAATATCATGAAGTTGAAATTTGAGGTCTTGTTTCTTAAAAAGCCTGAGTATTGAAAGGGGTTTCCAGAAGAGCTGATCAGAAGAACCAGTCTTCTGCTGTAAAGAAGTGAGTTCACTTCTGATGGTGAGAAAAGATTTTGTTGAATATCTCACCCTACCCATCAGGAACTGGTATCTTACTCAGCTATGGTTGGCCCTGATTGTTTGAGGGTAGAAAATAGTAGATTATCTGTACAGAACCAATGTCAGTAATAGCATTTGTAACAGCTTTCACAAAGCGTTAAGAGGGGCGGGGGGGCTGTCTTGTTATTGTTTTTTGTATTTCACAACCCAATTTTGTGTTCACACAAAACTAATTTGTTTTATTTTCGTATTTTATTCCCAGGTTTATTTCTACATGGTGCCATTTGATTTTGGAGATACTATTGGGGATTTATGGCTTTGTAAAAAGGAATTTCCGTCAGCTTATCCTTTGAAGCTGGAATAAAAACTCCTGAACATGAACAAGCTATTAAGTCAGTTCTACACAGTAGAAGTGGGTGACTCCACTTTTACCATCCTGAAACGTTATCAGCACCTGAGGCCCATAGGTTCTGGTGCCCAAGGAATAGTATGGTAAGTTGTCTTTTTTTTTTTTTTTATTATTTTTCTCTCACAATGGTTAAGTTAACTTCTAGCTGCCTGCAAAACAACAGTTCTATTGTTGAACTCACCCTGCTTTCTGTTTACTTCCATGTTCTTGTTCTGAAAGAATAGTGTAGAGGATATTTGTTAAACATAAAGGTCCACTTGACAAGATTCTATCAGACGCGTATGTATAACACACGGTTCCCATATGTTAAAGAAACCGTAAGTCTGGCAAAATGCTACATTTTTCAGTCACCTTTCAGTTGAGTTCTACCAGGAGATTTTCTTTTAAATTAATAAAAGTATGCCTTGTCCAGATAATTTCATGTAACCTTCATTGTTAAAGTGCTGTGGGGTTCTCTGGCTGACAACAGTAAACTCGAGTCATCGTTTTGATTTTATTTGTTTCTGTGCTTTTTTCAGAATAGTATTATTCAGAATATTTTGAGGTTTTATTGTGAATTAGCGTGAATCACATTATATTCTAATGTGATCATTGAATGACTGTTCTATTGAAATCAAAATATTCTAAGTGAAACAACAGACAGCAACATAATATATCCTCTCCCGTTCAAATTTACTGCTGACAGTGGCTGCCAATTTGTTCAGCTTCCTATACACTTAACAACCACCAGTGTTCTGACTGGGGGCACCGGGTGTGACACGCTCCCCTCCGTAAAGATGAAAATGAGGCCTCAGATTATTGTCATCCATTTTTATCGCAGCCAAGTCACATAGAGGAGAAATAAGTAGGGTGTCCAGCCTGATTCAGTCCAAAGTAAACTCCAGTACTGCATTGTACAACAAGACCACGTTATAATGGAAAGCAAAAAAAGGACTCTAGGCAAAGAATTTTTAAAAATCTTGTTCGTTGTTAGTGTTTAGTGCTTTCAAAGTGAAATGTAGTAAGCACTAGATCAACAAAAGGCTCCATGTTATGTGATCTGGGGCAAAATGTGAAGTAACTTTTTAATGTAGATTACTTTTTTCAGACAGCATTTTTTTTTTAACTTAATGGCAGCCTGAGATCTGGAAGCAATTCCTGAAGGTTTCAAATATTGTTATTTCATAAAATGAAATGCTTTGGGCTCTTTCCAGTTCATAATTATACAACAAATGTAGTTTTCCCTACTCTTACTGCAAATAGATCGAGGCAACTGGTGTTGCAGCCTTTCTTAGTGAGGTCAATTTTATACAGCTGTTCCATAGCCTTTTCAACTGTGCTTAAGCTGTGAGTCAAGATTGATTTTTTATCATCTTTACTTATCAAGGGATTGAAAGCAGTTATAATTATATTATTAGTTTACTCATAATTCATTTGCACTTTGGTGATTTTGGGGACTCAAGATTCAGGGTACCTTTTTAGTTTGAAAGAGAGTGGCACGCACAGTATACTTATGTGTCATATTATGATTGTCATGGTTTTGCTACTTTACTAACGACTGACTTGTATTTTGTTTCTGTGCTGTTTGGTTTTGTTTGAAGGATGCCCCTGGTTCATCCTGCTTCTTTGCCTTTGCTGTGCTACTTAAATTTTCTTTAATCACGTCGTTTTGACAATAAAGAGATTCCTTTGTATTGTCCTCTTGGTGTAAGTAAGTGTACGGTTAAAGATTATTTTTATTACTTGGATTTGGATTGAGCCTTTCCTATAGTGGTGCTTTCTTGATGTGTCACTGTCCAGTCTGCTCCATTAATATGTGTGTACGTTCCAAGTAAGGGACTTTCACTTTCACAGTAAGTGGTTGTCAGGTGCTCTGGTGTGGTTTTCTCCTTCTTTCCTTACATGTGTCATCATTTATCTCTCCTTTTTTTTTCTGTTTGTTATTCTCATTTAACACCTCTAATTTTCAGCACTTATATGACCTAGTTGTGTTGCAAATGTGGTTAACTATTACTAAAATTGAAAAAAACCCAAAAAATTAGAAGAAAGAAAAGTGACTTTCACATATTAACTTTTTATAATTTAATGGACTTCACTCTTGCTTCTCCAGTGCTGCTTGTGACATGCTGACAGACACCAATGTTGCAATCAAAAAGTTGAGCAGGCCCTTCCAGAATGTCACACATGCAAAGAGAGCATACAGGGAGTTCGTACTCATGAAGCTTGTCAATCACAAAAATGTAAGTTTTTTCGTTTTATTTTAAATTCTCTCTCTCCTGAAGCCCATCTTTAAATGCAGTAAGGCTGACTTTATAAGATTACGTGTCACTGATCTTTCCATTAATTAACAGTGCTTTCATTTTGTCTTTCTTTGCTTTTTCCTAATGATGACAGCAACCATATATATATGAGAACAAAAACATGATAAAATTGTTTCTGTTCTCTTCTCTAGTATTTGAGTCTCAAGTCTTTTTGTCCGGAATGTTCTTACCTGAACACATGTATTGTACGCTGTTCTATAAAATTGCCCCTTTTTTATTAAAGGGGGGGGGGGGGATCCTCTTCTGGGGAGGGCAAGCCCTAATTTCCTAGTTCATTTCAATAAATTAATAGTGGCGTGTGGAGGGGGTGGGGGTGCTAGCATTTTTCTATCTGCCTTGTAGTGGGCCCTTCTTACTCGGCATTTCATGTCCATCCCTAGGATTTTTAATGAACAAATTGTTGGTCCAAAAGAGAGAGGGGGGGTGAGAATGATTTTTAGACATATAAATTTTACATCTTATGTCAAATGGACAATTCACTTTCTCAGTTCTATTATATCCTTTCCATATGGAGAGGGCAAACCCTAATTTCCCAGTTCATTTCAATAAATTAGTAGTGGGGGGGGTGGGGGTGGTAGCTTTTTTCTATCTGCCTTGTAGTGGGCCTTTCTTACTCGTTGGAAGTACTAGACTCTTTCTGAGTGGAGTAAAAAGTAGACTTGTTGACCATTCTGTGCAGAACAGAGGAAAAAGTCTGTTGCAAGTATGTTTTCTCTATTACAATTCCGTTTCAAGAAACAGCTGATCACCAACCTCCCACGGTATTGGAGCTGAAGAGTCATAGCTTTGTTAAAAACCCATGGCCTTCCATTAAGTAATAATCTGTATCGGTGGAAATTAACTAATTCGCCCTTATGTGAGAGGTGTAACACTCATGAAATTGGAGATGAATTTCACTTTATTTTCTATTGTTCACACTTTGTCCATCAAAGGTAATTGTTAATCCGTCCCAGCCTGACTCAGCCCAGTGACAGAAATATGCAATGTTTGACCCATGATAAGAGATATATTGCACAACCTGTACTTGTTCATAATTGAAACTTTACTTATCAAATGAGTGTTTTATGTGATGTGATGTGGACCAATGGTCTTTTTATGAACTTACTTACTTACTTACTTTCTTACTCGGCATTTCATGTCCATCCCTGGGATTTTTAATGAACAAATTGCTGGTCCAAAAGAGAGAGGGGGTTGAGAATGATTTTTAAACGTATAAATTTTACATCTTATATATGTCAAATGGAGAATCCACTTTCTCAGTTCTATTATATCCTTTCCATATGGATGGAGAATTGGTCGTCTCTTTTTTCTGTCATCTTCCATACATGTGTGCAAAAGTCTTTAGTATGTGTGTGAGTGGGCGTTGATGTGTATGCATGTTTATATATTTTAAAGGGGGGGGGAGGGAGAAGAGAAAGAGGAGCTCCTTGTTCTAACTAGAACTGATGTGCTATCGAGTCTCATATTCATTCCCACTTGTCAGACTCTCGTTATCGTTTCTCTACACAAAGTATTTATGTAGTCTCTCTGGGGGGGTTTTCAACCTTGCCCCCGCCCACCACCTTCCGCTTACCCCTCTCTCTTCCTTCTCTCTCTCTCTCTCTCTCTCTCTCTCTCTCTCTCTCTCTCTCTCTCTCT